CTTAAATTATTCTAGATTCCTAAACTCCACAAGTCCCCATATAAACACAGATTCAGAGCCAGAACCAAAACGTAAGTCACCAGAAAAGATTTATCCTTTTCAATAGGCAGATTTTGTTAAACAAGACCGATGTCTCATTACTAGCTACAACTTTTACTTGTTGTTCTAACAACATTAAGACGGCTTATCGACTTCTTGAGAAGAATTCTAAGAAGAAAGTAAACCTACAGACATCGGTCTTGTTTAACAAAATCTGCCTATTGAAAAGGATAAATCTTTTCTGGTGACTTACGTTTTGGTTCTGGCTCTGAATCTGTGTTTATATGGGGACTTGTGGAGTTTAGGAATCTAGAATAATTTAAGAATTACATTATTATTACTATTTATATTAACAGCAAATTCTGTTAAAATCACGAGTTTTATAATGTTCCCATTATTTTTTATTATAGTGTTTTTAAGCATAATTACCTTCAGGTTGCATTGTCTGAAAAGTGTAAACTTGTTCCTTATAAAGTGTAATAATATAGAATGTTTTTGTAAGTAAAAACAGATTTATTGGCTGCTCTATCTGCTGGTGATAGGATATTGGTTTTCATGTACAAATTTCTTAGATTCTTTTGTATCTTTCTGAAGAAAATGTTTGTAAAAGTGTTAGGTGTAACTATTTTCAAAAACTGAGTATTTCTGATTACTTCAGTGTTGAGTTTATGTATAAATTTAAGAAGTAAGACAGTCATAATCTGAGGAAAGAATGTTATTCAGTCTGTCATTATTAAGCTGGGAGAATAACTCAATCATTATAATTGATCACTAAGTATTACTTAGTGTCATTTAAAATAATCAACTCATTGAAATTATTGTTACTGATTATTGGAATTTTGCATTGCTGTTTTCTGATTAATTCAAGGTTGTTCTGTTTAATTGATTAGTATCATGATTCATGTAAGTAATCAACTAATCGGCGTTGTGGTTTCCAATTATTACTATCTCTGATTATTCTATTTAAGTCTCGTATGAGAATAATTGATTATTTGAATGCAATCAACTTATGAGCCTGCCATTTAGTCAAATGTCAAATTCCACTTACCGCCTAGCTTTAGTTTCGGGCCAATATTAACATTTCCTAAAGAATGCTCAGATGAGGAGTATTGGTAATATCTACTCTTTTCAAAAACAGACAAACAACAT